GAAGGATGAGGATGTGGAGACCATCGTCAAATGGGAAGGATGAGGATGTGGAGACCAACCTCAAATGCGAAGGATGAGGAGGGAAAAGATACAGAATGGCAAAAACGAAGGTAGTCACTGAAACTTTTAACAGTTTCCTAAGAAGGATTAGAATTAAGTAATTACAATTAGATCACACCACTTGAGGTTGTTGCACTCACTCAAAAACTATAATAAATAGTGTTCACTTCAGCAGCCCATATACTAAAATTGGAACAATACAGAGAAGATTAGCGTGGCCCCTGTGCAAGGATGACACACAAATTCGTGAAGCATTCCCTATTAAAAAAAGAAAAAAAACTATAACAAATATTTATTGAGGAAACTATCAAATGCCAAGAATTGTTCTTATTACCAAAGTTAGACAAATAAACAGAATGGAAAACCCCTCCGCCCTGAATACTCACATTTCATTTCAGATGACTATTTTTGAAGGCATATTTAAAAAGAATAAAAATAACGTATTGTTAAAATGTATTGCAAAGACAGAGATATACTAATATTTTTTAGAAAAAAACAAACATTATTTCATAGGTTAATTTGGCAACTTTTGGTAAAGATGTCTCTGAAGAGACTTGGATGTATGACTTGCTCTCTGTGAAACTCAGTATGATGTATGCTTGAGAACATAGGGCATATGTGGTTTCATATACAACGTTTACTAACACTTACCTCAGTAAAATTTATATGCATATATATATATATTCACTAAAAAAACTATATTTCCCCAAGCAATGAGAACGTGTTGGTAGCCAGTTTTGATAAGTCAGGTTAAGGCCCAACCTTCAAAGCTAGCGACTGGGCCACAAAACCACTGATAGTGAGTCAGCTTTGCTGATCATCCCATCAGGGTGACACTAGGGCCAATATGATTGCATGAGGACAAATTTTAAGTAGAAATGTAAGAAATTTTACTTTCTGTCTGCATAGATTCTTCAAATGCATTATTTAGAAATATAATGCAATTATACTGTTTCACAACTTAATCAACAAATATTTATTGATGCTAAATCACATTTGTAACAACTATTAATTATGAAATGTAAGACTGTATGAAAATATAACAAAAGTATTCTAACTCAAATTTTATTGGCGTTAACTTTTCCTCTAAAATTTTGTAATTCAAACTATTTACATTAAAGTGCTCTAAGAAAATTTTGCATCTGACATTCCTGATCCTCTCTGAGAACATGTTCCTAAAAATAGACAATGAACAATGAGAGTGTAGGAGATGCCATCTCTGTATGTCCTTCATACTCTGTCAGATGACCTTTAGACCAATGACACACCTACAGAATTTGTTTTTTTATTAATTCATAACTGTGGACATTTATGAGGTACAGTGTGCTGATTTGATATACAATGTGGAATGCTTACATTCAAACTGATTGACATAACATCACTTATCTGTTGCGGTCAGACATTTGTACTCTTAATAGATTTCTAATGTGTTTTGAAAACTGGATAATATTTTATCCATCTTTTTTTATTAAGTCAAGTACACATAGATCATGAATACATTTATGCATATGTGGGGTACAAGGTGTTGATTTTTTTTTAATACAATCTGTTGTGGTTTCATCTAACCAAAAAATTTTGTTCATCTGGGACAGTATATGCCAATAATTTAAAAGTTCATTTTAATGTGTTCATCACTGTATAGTCAACTTTTAGCTAACTATTTCCATAGTAAGTACCAGGCAACTGAAGAGCTGTCTAAAGTCACCTGGTTCTTACCTCTCTCCATCGCGGCCTATGGGCATCATACATGGTGCTGAGACTACATGATACCCAGGGAAGAGGGTTGCTGAGGACAAGGAATGCACGATCTCGTAGGAAAGATAGGTCCGTGGACTAATAGTCACAATGGCGTACAGAAGTATTATTAGGAATAGGTGTGATTCATGCCACTATTACATCACTATAAACAGGAGAGAGCTCAGAAAAACTGGGTTAAATTGCTACTCCAACTTCCTCAGGAGTCCTGATCTGCTCAGTTTTGAAGCTGAGGATCCTGCACTGATAACTGACCTGAAGCAGGTGCTCAGCCAGTGTGTGGTGGGGGGGGGAGGACAGGCTACAGTGAGGGTTAATCCTTCCTTGGGAGGGGATTTCTCAGTTTGAGTGCTATGATGTCTCAGGAAAATGAAGAATAGATTCTCTTTATATTAATTCCTTCTTACAAAATTAGTTTTTTCTGCTTTCTCAAACTCAGTTTAAATTATTAACGGTAAGACGACAGTCCAGGCTGACATAAGATTTTCAAAATATGTCTGTTTCTTGGAAAAGAAAAAAATCTTCTTTCTTCAAGTGGAAGGCAATTAAATTATTTTTATATTCCAAACCGAGTCATATGTATTGGATTATGCAATTCCATGCTTCACTTGCTTTTTCATTTCAACTTTAAGATATTTTCTTTTTATCTTTTAGACTCACCATTTCTTTTTTCTTTCTTTAAAATTTCAACAATATTTTAAGTTCCAATTTTCATTGTGCTGTAAAGAAATTGGTAGGGTTTATTGTAGGAGAGAGTCTAAAGCTTGAAAGTTGACTTTGGAGATCTTTTTCCAAAATCCTCCTTTGAAGTTGAAAGAACAAAGCTGGGAGAGTTCAAACTCCTTATTCAAGGCCACGCAGCATGGGGCATCGTTGTGGTGTTAACTCCTGTTGAATTGCACTGTACTGTGTCTCCTCATTTACCATATTACACACACACAAAATTAAATGTGCATAAGGACTCTTTGCACAACCAAATGCACATGATAAACGATATTTGAAACTGACACTTTGATATTGACATTGTCCACGGTGCTCTCTTCAATTATATCATTTGGTGAATGGTAATGCCTTTGAAAATGACTTAAGAAAGTGTTCCAGTCCAACTTTGCAAGTCCGCTTGTCATCTTGAGCTCATGCCCTAATTTTTATCATGAGCAGATAATAGCTAACTTGAATAGTCCATATGAATAGTATGTGTTTACCACACTAATAAAAAGTTGTAGAAAATAACATTGTTTCTACGTATTTCCAGCTAGAACGTGCGGATCGAATCTGCGTGGACCCAGTGGTGTCATCACCTCCCCCAATTACCCAGTTCAGTATGAAGACAATGCACACTGCGTGTGGGTCATCACGACAACCGACCCAGACAAGGTAAGGCTGCCATCCTTGCTGTGTGGCTGATGCAAAACTGACATTCTGCCAGGGTCAGCTATTTAGATAAATGGCTGGGGTGGTCTTCTACCAGTGGAATTCAAAAGCTCATGCTGTATTCTGTGTCCAGATATCGCACTCATTGGAAAGCAGTATGAGATTCAAATACAAGATGAACATTCTCAATGTGGTGTCGTAAAGTGATTCTAGAGGTGCTGTTCTTCCCTCCCATATCATAGTACTTTTTGATATATGTTCTGTCTTTCTCAATTCAAGTCTCATCTACTAATCAGAAGCTTTCTTAAATATCAAAGTATTTCTTCATAGCACTACTAAGGTTTAATAATGTCCCTACTATACTCAAAAACAAAGAATAGTCTCTCTAAAATACTGTTTTCTATATCACTCTGTTCATATGTTCTTCTCATAAGCTATGAGTTTTCTAAAAAGTTAATATGTCTCAGTGCATTTTCCAACTTTTTGTCTTAAATGTATTGAATAGGATAGGTATTTTCCCTAGAGCAGTAAAAAGGGATAATAACACGTTATTTTTCTATAGGTTTTGCATAGTTTGCAATTATGGTGCCAAATTTTAAATCATAGGCCAAGAAAGCATATTCATAATCATGTTTCATGGGTTATAAAATGGATATCTGTTAATTTGCTTGAAGTTCAATGTAAATGCATACCAATGGAAGAAAAATAAAAGGAGAATGTCTTCAAATTGATTTAATTTTTTAAAAATTGTCAATAAGACATTATAGGTGTGTATTTCACTGAAATTATGTTAAAAGGAATATTTGTATATAATAATGCATATAAAAACATTAATTTTATTGCACCCGAGCATTTACCAATTATCGCGCTATTACTAACAGTTTTGTGTCTTAAATGATCACCTCTCCACTTTTATATTTTATTAAAACATTTGCCATATGTATATAGTTCTGCCTTAAAGCTGTGTATTTCCCAGGTCTAAAAGCAAAACAGTTCTGATTTTAGATTAAGTAAAGAGTTCATTACAGATGCTTTTTGGTTTTTTGTTGGCTTATTTTAATTCTAAAATGTTAGTGTCTTCTATGAAAATACAGGCTTTAGTGAACAGAACTGAGTAAAAATTCAGGGTGTGGTAAGCATTCTTCTCACAGACTGAGGAATTGCTGGGCTGTCTTTGCTCTGTTGAAGGCCTCTGGGTTTTGTCACCACGCTTCGCTCTGTGCTGTGCTCTGGTATCTGCACGGAATGTGCTCATGTCACAGCCAGGGTGTTATCTCTTTCCATCTCTTCCTCCTCTTTCCATTAACACCCAGTGACTCGGCCACCAGAAAGCAAGCTCTGCTTTGGTGGGGGAAACAAGAATCAGAAAACTATGGCACTGGGCACAGCGCAACTTGTTCCTATAGGCCTTTCACATGGAAGAACAGGAAATATGCCCAGATAGGGAGGCGGGAACCCACCCCTGTACTCTGTGTGAGAAGTAAGACTGCCTCCATGGGGTGTGTGGGGATCCTCCAGAACGTCACAAGTCTAGACTCAGCAAGACCTGGCAACGAGTGGGGTCCAAGGACTCAGGGAGCAGGAGGGATGCCTGTGACCATTGATTGTCCTGTTGGACATTGTGTCCCATGTGGCAAGAGGGAAGGGATGAGAATGGCATTGAGGGTGATTGTTGAAGACTGTGCAACATTGACATGGGTTCTCATCCTCCTCTCACAGGGATCCTGGCAATGCCTGCTGTCTTTACACTGTAATAGAGATGCAGATATTTGCTTCTCAAAATTGTTGCAGGGTGAGACAATAGATGAATGCTCTCTACGTTTATCCAGAGACACGACTTGAGGGAGTGCTGCTGTAAGGGGAAGGTGAGCGAGAGAGGACCTCAGGGAGTGCTGCTGTAGGCGGGAGGTGAGCAGAGAGAGGACCTGAGGGAGTGCTGCTGTAGGGGGGAGGTGAGC